TTGACTTGAATACTATTGGGCGACTTGACCGACTTACCCCCTGCTTTGCAGATGTGATACGAAAACTGATTTCCCCCCTATAATATCTGTCATACCAAGGCTACGAACTTGTCACATAACACATAAAAGAATAATTGAGGTGATTCAAAAAGATTAAGGTGAAGAGGGGTTTCGGAATGTCTGTTGCCATATATAGCTCTATGTCTTACCTGAGTCTCGTGCCGCGCCACATGTGTGTACCTGCAGAGGCCTGGGGGAAGAAAGACCCTTTCACGATAACGGGTGTGGAACCAATATCCACCGTTACCAAATTACACATTTTAGCTTCTGTACCTGTCGAGCACTGGCCCAGTACTATGTAGAGGCCAGTAAAAAATCCCTACCAGCTGATCACTGACGCAATGCGGGATCCCCTGCATTCGAGCCAATGCCCTGAAATAACCCCTGCATGCTGTACGAAATGCTGCTGCTGGGCTGCTGGGCCAAGATGTAAATCTACTACTATGGGTGTAGGTAATTGACCTTCGTTATTTTCTGCTCGTCATCCAATGCTAATCCCACCAACGAAACATTCAAATTCTTCTCCATGACTTAGGGGGACTCCACAGGTTCAGACCCGATGTGGACGGTGCCCGGTAGATATCCCTTGAATATTCCCTGCCATCTTATTCTAATTTTTCCTGCCAATAATTGACCCGCTCGGCAATCTGCCAAATTTGATCAGTTCCCTTTTGGTTGATTGAATCCTTTTAGCAACAGGATCCCCCCGTACGACGGTGGATGGTCACGGGGTGTCAATGGGTGCCAAGTGACATGACAGCGCTTTACTCGAAAGAAACTAACCTACCAGCCTACCTGCATACCTATACCACACTCATGATATGATACTCATTATACATAGTAGTATGAGCTGAAGAAAATAGGTGGGAAAAGGGGGATTTCTCTTTAGCCTCTAGGGGTCCAGTGCTGTCCGTGTTATTGCATACTAGGGCTGCTAAGTACTGCGCCGTCGTTTCTCGCGTCGTCATCGTCGTGACAGAAGACGCCGTCTGGTTTCGTGGACATTGCGCTTTAAACTTATTTCAGATACGATCTGTTGTTTTGTTGTGCTCCTTGCGCACCCTGTTGGGCATCATCACATCACTATATCTGTGCTACAGTTAAGCGGGCTAGCGGCGCAGCTTGCCCTCGTTCGTGTGCCATTGCCATTGATGCTGCATCTTTAAGCGGCTGGGTTCCACAAACATCCTGGTCACGATGTCGACAGGGTCCGAGACGGTTACCGTGCCGGCTAGCCCATCACCGCTCAACTTCCTCTCCCGTGTTAACTTCCCCTTAGAGGATAGAGACAATTGGCGAACTCAAAGACGAAGGGAAGGAAGCTTTTCCAAGGCCACGAATATAGTGAACAAAATGATTACTCAACGTGGCCGTCACGACGGCAATGAGCAGCAGCATTCGAAGCAGCAAGACGCCGCATCGGGTAGCACTATTGCTCGATCCATGTCTCGCTACCGCAGACGGAAAAGTAGCGTTACTGTCGCCGTCGATGCAACCCAGAAAATTAATTCCGATCCACCGCCCCCATGGGAACCTCCGAGAATGCCCCCTGTACCAACTACTATACCACGTCAGTTAAGGACCGCCAGTATGCCACAAAAGGAGGAGAATGTCCCTGCCACCTCGCGCGATTACCCTCAGCCGCGACACCAGCTGCGCCATACCGACACTGCACGGCGACACACGATGCGCAAAAGCATGGCGGACTCGTTCCAGAGCCGGCCCAGTACGGCGAAAAGTGCCAAGAGCGAAGAGAGCGCGTGGCGGAGACTTGCTAGCCGAGACGGGCGCCGCCCATCTACTAGGGGTATGGTAAACAGTGACGAGGACGACGAAGCAACGAGACGAGAAACTGCGCGTCAGGAGGCAGAGAACCACCGATTACTAGTAGAAGAGAAAAAGAAGCACCTCAAAAGACTAGAGTTACACGCGGCGAATAACCAAAAATCCACCCAATCGCCAATACTCAAACCGAAGAGCCCTGTGATCGAAAAGTTTGTCTCTCTGGCCAGAGGTCGCAAAAGCAGGGATGGATCGTCTCCCAGCTTCTCTCCCATGTCGTCGACTGCCAGTCTCGAGCCAGCAAGAAAATTCTCGGTTGGCATTGAGCCAGGCGGTAAGGGTATCGTGCCTCAGACCGATGCGCCGCACTCTGCGATCAATGCTGGGGACCGGGTAAGTGTGGACCGTACCTCTTCGCTGGGTCGAGGACAACGTGCTAATATGATATGAAGAATGTCGCGGTGCGCTATAGACAACATACATTCAGTTTAGATGTCACACCCGAGACCATAACAGACGACGTAATAATTCAAACCGCCGAAGCGATGAATTCTAACGACATCAGTCCAACGAATTGTGTTGTGATAGAGACCTATGGAATATTGGGTCTTGAGCGACGGTTGCGGCGCTACGAACACATCCGAGACGTTATGAACTCTTGGGATCGGGATACTATAAACCAATTGACAGTCGCAGTATCTGAAATGGAACGAGAGAATTGGGAACTCGACATTGAATCAGTGCCGAAGAGCAACGAGCCGCCTCATGGGTTCCAATTGTACATGTACCATTCGAACCGCCCGGGAAAGTGGAACAAGAGGTGGATCACGCTCCTCGACAACGGGCAGATTGTAAGTGCGAAAAAGCCGAACGCCAATTCGACGGACAAGGACACTACGAGCTTATGTCGTCTGTCCGACTACGACATCTACAACGCAACAGAGTCGCAGATGCGGAGGCATATCAAACCTCCAAAGCGATATTGCTTCGCGGTGAAGAGTCAGCAGAAGACCACAGTCTTCATGAATACGGAGAACTATGTTCAGTACTTCTCGACCGAAGACCCTAAGATCGCGGCCCAATTTAGGGAGAAGGTTCAAGGCTGGCGCAGTTGGTATCTGGTAGATCGCAGACCTCCGCCCCCGAAAGTAACGAGGAAAATCTCGATCCGAAAGACGGACGACAAGCCGCCACAGCTCACGTTGCCTACTGTTAGCCATACACCGAAGAAGTCTGAGAACGTCGCTTCTTTGAATGGTCACCGTCTCCGAGTATCAATTGACGAAACGCCGTATGCGATCGGTCAGTTCGAACCACTACTCGACATGAAGCGATTCGACAAACGGCTATCTCAGTTTGGGCAAGACTTCCTGCCGCCGGTGCCGGATGTTTCGACTATGCCGAAGGAGATCCCGGCGCATCATCTCAATTCTAGCTCGAAGGTCGAAAAGGAGAAGGAAAAGGAAAGAGCCGAAAAGAGCGAGCGGAAGTTGATAGACAGTATCAAAGACACCAGTGTTGATGGCTTCACCGGCAGCGGTTTACTTGGCCAAGGATACGATGAGCGCAGGCATACTACTCACTCGGGAGCAGACAGGCCAGAACGAGGGCGGCAAATGTCTAGAGATGCCGGTTTCACCGAAGGACCTTCGCTCCTGAACGGAAACTATGAACCAGAGACATCAGCTCAGAAGCAGCCCGATTCCCCTTCGTGGTTCCCATCAGCTACGGAACACACAGCTAGACAACGCAGCACGACCCGCAGCACAACTTCTTCTAATACTGCCCAACGGCCGAGCACTTCTGCAGGCGTGATGCACACCTCCACGCACACACGCAGACCATCTCTGTCTTCGCCCCGGCCACCTCTACCTTTAAGCGGCAAGCCTCTGCTACACGAACACCCAAACCCGCTTGCCTCTCAACCAACCGGCCTTTCGCACTCGAATCGCCGCGCCCCACCAAAGCCTCTGGTTAATCTAGAAACGGGCACCTTCCAAGAGGCGCCTCAGTGGAAGGACAAGAGCGGCCATGGCGTCAAAGCTCCAGAAGGCACGGCGCGTCTCATTGATCTGATCAATGTGTCGAACCCGAGCCAACCAAATAGAAGCAGCGGCACTCTCGACATCCCACCCCGCAGCGCTCTGCGGCGTCCTCCGAATACGGCGCCTCTCCCGAGTCTCTCCCGAACACGGAGTAAAACCCAGGGCGCACCTCCTCCGAGATCGCCAGTAACGGAAAATGTGCCACCGGTACCATCTCTGCCCGGCATGGGGGACCGAGGACCACTCCGGTCGCACCCGCCGCCGAGGAGCAGAGAACGCGACCGAGACCGCGAACGGGAGAAGAGAGAGCGCGAGTACAAGGAGCGAGAGACCGCGTATAATTCGGTGCCCGGCCGGACGGGCACGCTGAAGGTGGTGTAATCATAATAATATCATTTACGACTAGCCTTACGGCTCACTGAACTAACGCCTTTCTTACGACATTACTACCAATACCAACCACGATACAATATCTAATCACTAATACTTACCGCGTGGAGCATCGCGCATTTTATTTTGTTACTGTTACCAACCTACGAGGACGGAGCATCTATCATTTGTTTACTGTCAGAATCATTTGTCACGTCATATCAAAATCGTCATTTCGTCATTATCATCATCATCATCATCATTTGTAGAGAAAAGCGGCGGAGTTTTAGGAGCGAGAGTCAGCACAGTTAGCGAGCATGTATGTATGTACGGATATTTTTCATGGAGAGGGTGTCGATAGCTTCAAGGGGTGTCAACTGGGATGCGATGGTGGATTTGTATGTATGATGGATTTGGACTTGCATAGTAGCCTTTGCATGGTTAATATCGGAAAGAGGAGGATGTATTTAAATGTCTATCTACTGAGCTGTGGGCTTATATACCAGCCTATGTTCCGAGATACCTTGTGTAGTAATATCTTGGTACCCTCTTACCTATCTGACTTCGATGATAGTGAGTGATGAGGTAGAGAGATGGCCGTCAAAATTCAGTCTCCATTGAAGTGACATACCAGATGCGTGACACCTGCTTTATTATGCTCAACTTCAACTAGAAGATAAGTCATATTTCATAAGTTTATTCATGTGCGTGATAGTCGAAGGCGGTCAGGGGCCAAAAAAGAAATGCATCAGCCGTGAATCGAACACAAGGCCCATCGATGACAACGATGGATTTTGCCACTAAACCACTAATGCCTTGCACAGGGAGGCAACTATGGAACTGTGGCGGTTGCTGGAACTAACACATATAATTCAAACATTTATCCCTTTCTAAAACGACACTGCTTGGCTACCTATTCTACATCAATTTCATCATAGCAATCAACTTAGTGTACATAGGCTTGCCGTATATGACCTCGGACTACGGCCTGCAAAGTCATCTATTGCGCGGGTCGGACAACATGATACGTAGGTAGGTACTTTATTTCCCTGTCCTCATTGCTCTGGGACTGTGAAATATGCGCTGCTGCGGAATCGCTAATCACGAAGCAATGTTAGGAGTGAACATAGCAACACAAGCACATCTAAATGCCGTGTATATTGATTCATTCTGTTCACGCTTTTGCCTGGAGGTAAGGGCTTAGGCACGGAGTATTCAGTAGGACATAGGTGTCCGGGAAAGAACCACTGATGCCATACTACTACCGATCTATATAACTTATCTCGACTAATCATATCCAATAAAGTCGGCATAGAGTGTTCGGCCGGGGCCCTCCGTTCTAGGATGAGAAAGCCAGGTGTAAGAGATATACCGCCTCTATGCATTCCTCCCTCTTTATAAGCGACACCCAGTAATTCCTCTTCCCACCCATTCAGGAAATAATAAGCCGAGGTCCAGTTCTTATGGAATACATCTAGAAGATAAAGGCCGAGCGTCAGCAGGCTAACGTTGGATTAAGCTTATAGTTTTCGACATTCCCGCCTTACCGCCCTAAAGTAAGGGTAGCAGGATCACATATCAATCGAGGAGGGATGACGAGGGCCAAGTGCCGTAGGGCTGAGCCGGCTTACGTGACGTAAGTCCCTCCCATCACATTGTCTTCAACAAGCCCCGGGTGTTACTGTGATGAACTCATTCCAAGATGATATGATAAGACTCAGCCTATGTATTATGTATAATGTAGGTAGGGTATGATATACGATAGTGAAATCCTTGAAGCGTCTTCCGCGCCCATGTGACCCGCCTCGACCGCCGGCCAAATGCGAATGCAATCGGCTCCCTAGGTGTCCGGCTGACCGAATCCGCCACCCACGTCGCTGCCTTACCGTGAGTCCTACCGTGGCACAGCGACGCTATCGTGTGATTGTTGGTGACAGAATTATAAAATTTGTCACAAATCTGCAACAACCCGAGCGTGATAGCGATGCCCAGCAAGCCGCAATCTGCCTGTGCGAACCGAGGCCGTTTTCTGTCATCCCAACGCCGGTTTGGAAATATCGCGTGGCGTTTATGACGCGCAGCCAATAGGCGGCCGAGCCCGCCCGATCACGAACGGGGTTGCTTGCTCAGAGCTGAGTCCGCAGCAGGGGGGGTGCCGGGTCCAGGGTCGCGATTGGCCGGGGGGCTACGAACGCTTCCTCGTGGGTGGATTGCGGCTCAGATCCGCCAGGTTAGAGTTACCCAGCGCGGTGAACTGGAACTGGGTCTGGGTGTGCTGATTGGCTGTCGGATTGCGTCTTATAAATGGACGCCTGGTTGTTGGGAATTCTTCAGTGCAACCCCGGGGGACCAGACCGGCATCATGTGCTACCCCATCCAGCACGCGAATCCTTCCTTCAGCTATATCCGCCCAACCTTGCCCCAGGCAAAAGCAAAATGCGATTATTTTCGTCCATGTCACGCACGCGCGCACGAACCATATGATTGTTCGCTTAGTATAATACCTTTTCGGACCCAAGAGGATTGAGTAGTCGGCAGGATAGCACTGGATTAGGAATACGAGCCCACACACATTAGCTACGGGTTAGGATACTTGCGAACATTTTGTTCATGATGAGTGATGAGTGAGGGTTAACCTGGTGTATTTGTGTAACGTGTCTGACATCAGTGTTGGTGGACGCCCTCCTTTTTTCAGGTGTCATATTGTGACGACAACCGCTTCAGGTAACTCCGCCGAAGTTGTCAGGTAGAAAGGCTGCGCCATGTTGGTGATAGATATGTGTCATTCCCTCAAGAGACATGTTGGCTGATGGTTGGTTTCGTCGAAAGGGGTGTGAGCAACCTAGAATGGATTCTCGTGGCCGTTGCTTAAAAGGAGGAATGAGTGAGACCCCCTTTGTGTGCCTGTCTTATATGAGTTGGTGCAGGAATGAAGCCGACTCAGTTGATCTGTGTCACTTGAAGCTTAATTCTTGAAATACACGAGCTCAAGAGAGTTCCCATTGTTTTCGTTCCTAGTTTGTCAGAAATCGATCCTTAGTAGTTCTCTTCCAAGTCAGCCCAACGTGATGATGCCGAGCGTACTACCGAGTCCCCTAGCTGCGGGAATAGCCGCAGTAGTGATGGTATTCCCATATTTTCTTGCGCCTGTGAAACATTAGCATAGGGAGTGGAGTGCTGACGAGACCTTCAACTTACTAGGGAATCATCTACTGGCTCGGATGGTGCGTATACTGCCTCTGGTTCCATCCACTTGCCAAGTATCCCGGGCCAAAGGCCGCTGCTGTTTCTGAGGTATGCAGCACTCTGTTCTATAGTTGTCTCTCCTAGCAAGTTATGCATGTGTCATGCTGACTGATTTGACTCTAGATATGGTTCGTCTGGGCGTGGACTACTGGAAGATACCCTCACATTCTAGAGGATGCCCATAGAAAATACGGTACGTATTCTCTGCCCCTGATCTCTTGACACACTTCACTCCAGATTGACTTAACGGCAATACATAGGTGATGTCGTGCGCATAGCCCCGGACGAGCTCTCGTTTGCGACGGTACAGGCTCATCGGGATATCTACTCGACACCCTCAAAGTCGAAAAAACCGTTCCTTAAATGTGGCAAGTTCTACAACAACGGCGATGTGACCAACATCTTCTACGAGCTAGACCCCGCCGAGCATGGTAAAATGCGCAAGGTGCTAGCTTCGGGCTTCAGTGGCACTGCAATGAAGAACCACGAGCATATCATCCACCGATACGTGGATATGTTCGTCCGCAAGGTCAGCGAGCTCAGTACCGCGAGGCGAGGCCTAGGCGTCGACGTTACGGAGGCTATTCCTTGGCTGGCGTTCGACGTAATGGGTAAGCATGCCTAATCTGATCATCGAAATAACTATAGGCGAAATAAAAGTTGCTAACAATTTTGCGAATAGGGGAATTGACGTTTGGAGAGTCTTTTGACGCCGTAGCAAAGGGCGAAACGCACTTCTGGATCTCGCTCCTCACCGACAGCGCGCACGCAGCAATTCTGCCTAGTTTTATCCGCAAGGCCCCGGCCCTCGTCTTGATGATCCCCTTCATGCTGTCAATATCAGCAATCAGAAACCTGAAGCAGCACTACGCATACACGATGGAGACCGTCAGAAGGAGACTCAACCGCGCTTCCGCCGAGCGAGACATCTTTACTCCTGTGATAGAACAAGGCGATATTTCCGAAAAGCACCTTGTGTCGCTGGCGCAAGCAATGGTCATCGCTGGTGCGGACACGTTGACTGCCGTCATGACCACAGCGCTGTATTTCCTCAACACGAGGCCTGATTGCTTGGCCAAGGTAGAGGCCGAGGTGCGAGCGCTCAAGTACGAGCAGTTGACCGGGGTCGAAGTACCGCAGCTGAAGTATCTGAATGCCGTTATCGAAGAGTCCAGTAAGTACAGTTTATTCTTTCTTTTGCTTTTCACTGCATCTTCTTGTCCTTGATTTAAAGCCAATTTACCCGTTCCGAAGTGGCTGAGAAGGGCGAGCTGAAAAACCTCGCTTCACGAATCAAGACTGCATCCCAATGTACGACATTCTAAAGATGGCAATTATACTGATCCGAATGGCGCAGTGCGATGCTTCCCACCCATCGCCTTCGGCCTTCCACGAGTCTCGCCGGGCGAGTTCGTCGACGGCCAGTTCATCCCGAAGGGCGTCAGGGTCTCCGTCGCTCAGTGGGTGCTGAACCACAACCCTCGAATTTGGGATCAGCCGTACGAGTTTAGGCCCGAACGATGGTTGAAAGACAACCATGACTTTCCCATGGAAAAGAGCTCGCAGGCGGCTATTTTCCCATTCAGCACTGGACCTAGAAGTTGCTTAGGCATTGCGCAGGCCTATCTAGAAATGCGGATCACCCTGGCGAAGTTAATCCACGCTTGCGACATGCAAGCAGTCCAGGATCCTGGAGATTGGATTGGTGCCGCGCAGATGCATATGATGTGGAAGAAGGCACCTCTCACGGTGAATTTCCACCCCCGTGAGCAAAATGGACTGATTGAAATTGAGAAGTAGGGTAAAAGGTATGGGATTGTATGCTGTCTCAGCTAACTTTGAGCGCTCGTTTGTTTAAATTAAAGTAGATTTCGTGTCTCGGGACCGGGAAGGGTATTATTCATGTCTTTTAGCTACCTACCATTCATCTAGGATCATTTCGAATTAACATCCCGTGCCATTTTAGGCACCTCATTTTTTACCATGTGTTTCGATAGTAGAGCGCATTCAACGACCCTTCTTTTTCATTCCAATTCCTTACTTGCTTCGCTTGTAGATCTTCTGTAGGAAAACTTCGAAGATATCCTTCTTCAGGCCCTCGCTCTCATCCACTTCAGAGATTAATTTTCTGATCTCGCCCACACTCTTCTCTTCGTAGTCCTGGTATAGCTTTTCTAGCTTCATCTCGTCGTAGAGCTTCTTGATCTCGGCCTCGTGTGTCTTGTCCTTCTTTCCGTAGTGGTCCTCGAGTGTCTTTCGCTGCTCGGGAGTTGCTATCTTCAGGGCCTGGTTGACCAGCCAGGAGCACTTGTTATCTTGAATATCGGTACCGATCTTGCCAATGTGCTCCGGGAGACCGAAGTTGTCCAGATAATCATCCTGGACTTGGAAATACTCTCCCATAGGAATGAGGATGTCGTGTGCTTGCTTCAGGTTCTTGGGGGTTGCAATATTGAGATTGTGCAGCGCCAGAGCAACCGGGAGGTAGAAGCTGTAGTAGGCAGTCTTGTAGATAACGATGAAGGTGTACTTCTCCAAGCTAAAGTTGTCGAGGTTCACCACATCTTCC